TTGCTGTGTTGCCCCTCCCCCCTCTTTTTGCCTCGGCCCTCGCCCTGAGAGGCGATGTCTCCCTGGGACAGGTGCTTCAGGAGAAAGCTCTGGAGGCCTTGGGACGGGGCCTCGAGGGCAGGGGCGGGGAGGCCTGGGAGCGGGTACTGGAGTCTCTCGGCCTGAGGGGCAACACTGAGCCACAGCCAGGGCGCCTGCGGCAGCACCTGCTCCATGCGCTCCCAGAGGTCGAAGCCGTTGGGCCACGCGATGAGGCCGCCTCTGGCCAGCGTGGCGACGGCGTCGGCGAGCTCGTTCCACGGGTCCGCCATGTGGCCGCCGACGTGCGACCAGAGGACGTCCTCGGCGCTGTGTCTCAGCACCTTGACGATGCTGCCCAGGAAGCTGGCGTACGGCGCGTAGTGCTCCAGCGCGGCACCTCCTCTCCCTATGTCTACCACGTAGTTGTTGTCGGTGTAGAAGCTGATCACTGGCAGCTGCGCGTGCTTGCCCGTCTCGCCCACAGCCACCTGGAGCTGCAGGAGCCAGAGGATCGCGGCAATCATCGCACATATCTCTGCGGTACCTGACGGCTGGCTGAACTGTTCCCCCAGCGTCGGCATCGCATCGCCCATCGTGCCGATGAGCACGAACTCGTCGTCGTGTGCGTAGCCCAGCACGACGAATGCCCAGGCCGGCGGCCCAGGAAGATGACCGTGCGTGCTGCCACCCGAGCCATCCGTGTAGATGAGTAGCGTCCCGAACAGGCTTGGATCAAAATCGCCCTGCAGACGCGAGCACTTGGACAGTACTCCCTTGGTTGAGCTGTGAAGGTATTGCTCTCCATACTCGACGAAGCCCTTGTCGATGGAGATTGGCCATGCTGCCCTCAGCACTGCCAAGTCGGCTGCTGTGTCTGGAAATGGCGTGTCAACACCGCTCCTTGGCAGCGCCTCTGAAACTGAAGTCGTTGTGGCGGCTCTGTCTACCGGGCCGCGCCCCCCTGTCGCTTCCGTCGCCGCTGAAGACGGCAGCGGGGGCTGGCCCGGGTAAACTAGCCCAACGGCCGCCCGTTGGCGTCCAGCCGCTGCCCCACTCTGACGTCGCTCATGGCGTTCTCGTCGGCGGCGGACGGCGCCCGGCACTGCTGCAGCTCCTGCAGTGGGGAGCGGGCTGCCGCCACCTCGACCACAACTGGGTCGCCATTCTCGTCCTCCATGACCTTGACGGCTCCCTCTGCGCTGTCCGTGGCAGCTCCTCCAGACGATAGGGCCAGCCTCCTCTGGCCTGGCGGCGGCGGCTCCGCAAACGCCTTGGCTGGGGACTTGGCTGCCTTGCCTGCGCACGCGCTCTTCTGGCTGGTGGGCAGCACCCCTCCACCTGGAACGGGGATATTCTCCGCTCCTGCGGCCTGCGATGGCTGGCCTTGGAGGGGGCGCCCATTGAGCGCTGCGAGGATCTGCCCCAGCGTGTCCTGCATGGACCCCATCTGTGTCTCCAGCTTCGCCACGCGGTTCTGATCTTGGGCCGTGCCTGTGTGTGACCATGCTGGCCTCACTGGCATCTGCTGCTGCCCTGACGAGCCTCCTCCATAGCCGTCGTCGTCCGCGCCCTCGATCTCCTCGTCGCTGTCGTCCGGCACCGCCGCGTCACTGGCGAACTTGTGCGCGGCTGGCTCCGCAGCGGCGTAGGCTCCTCCCTGCGGCGGGTAGGCGCACCAGTGCTCCAGCTGCGCCGTCTGCGCCATGAACTCCTGCGCGTGCTGGTACTCCTTCTGGGCCTTGACCGCCTCCGCCTTGCACGCCTCCGCCGCCAGCTCCGCGGCAAACTGGGCGTCCTTGGCGGCCGACAGCGCTTTCTTGGCCTCGTTGACGAACTGCTCCTGCTTCTCCATGCGCGCGGTCGGGTCCTTAGCGAGGATGACCTGGCAGTGGAGCGCAGCATACTCGTTCTCCGCCTGCTCGAGGCGCTGCGGGGAGACCTGCTCCGGGGGCATGCTGCGGATCGCCCTCGCCGCCTCCGCCGCCGCCACCATCGCCTTGCGCAAGGACTCCCTGTGGCGCTTGAGTCCTGCGGCGATCGGCGGGGCGGAGAGCCAGCTGGGGCGGTGCTGCGCCTGGTTCGGCAGCATGGGCAGGATGCCGATGTTGCCCGAGGTCGCTGGCCCTCTTGCATCTGCCTCCCCTTGGTCTCCTGCTGCAGCTCCTCGCCCGTGTCCTCCTCTGTCTGCCGATGCAGAGCGCTTCCTCCAGGGGGGCTTGGCCTTTTCCTTCTGGCCACCACCTCCTCCTCCTTTGGGCGCTCCGCCATCTCTGCATGTCGTTCTCGACGCGAAGTTGTCCTGGCTGCACTTCGCGAAGGAGCAGCGCCAGGTTGCTGCATGGCCTGTCGAACGTGACGATGCACGGTCTCCCAGCGCCATCCTGCTGCTGCTGTGGTGCTTGTCCAGTAGGCCTGCCGCCGCACCAAGCCGCAGGAGCACTCGTGCGTTGGCACGCTCCTTGCGGCGGCGGCGGTGCCAGGCCGGATCCAAATCGGGGCCGCGCGGCGTGGCGGCGCCCGTGGTCGCGCGACCGTGGAGGTGTCGCAGGCCACTGTGGCCTGCACCCAAACACCTCGAGCAGGTCACGGCGACTGGGGAGGAGGGAGGAGGGAGTAGACGGAGGAGGAGGAGGAGGAGGAAAAGGAGGAAAACAGGGAGGATGAAGAGGAGAAGAAAAACGAGGAGGAGGAGGAGGCAGCAGTTTTCTCCTCCTCCTCGTCCTCCTCCTCATCCTCATAATCATCGTCCTCGTCCTTGTCCTCGTCCTCATCATCTGTATTATCAATATCAGCATCATCATTAGCATCGTCGTCATCATCAGCGTCAGCTTCACCCTAATAACCATCACCATCCGTATCGTTATCGTCACCATCAGCAGCAGCAGCATCAACATCATCATGTTCATCGTCAGCATCACCATTATTGTCATTGACACCATCCTGATCATTAGCATGATCTCTGGCATTTTCATTGTCATTGGCCTTGTCATCATCATCAGTATCACCATCACCATCATCATCAGCATCGTGTGGGTCGTGTCTTCGTCCTCGCTCAGTTTCCTCTTTATCTCCACATCCTAAGCGGGGTCCTTGTTTTCCCTGGACACCCCGCGCAGGAGCTCACCCACAGTCTCATCATCATCATCAACATCACCACCACCAGCATCAGCATCACCATCGTCATCAGCATCATCATCATTACTCCCTCTGTTCGTCACTCACACACTCACGCATTCACACTCATCATCATCACCACCACCGCCATCATCACCAAGGGCCGCCTCCCTATGGAGCCCGCGCTTCACGTTGTCGATCCGAGCGGGTCATCCGAACCCTGTATATGTCGTCTCTTTTGGTCTCCTCGCACTTGAATCTTGAAGGAGCCTCACGCGGGAGCTTAATCTGCGGGCGAATTGCGAGGAAGTCTCAGACGGGAGCCCCCCCACCTATGGAGCCCGCGTTTCATGTTTTGGCAATCCGAGCGGGCCATGCGACACTTAGACCTGTCGCCAATTCTGCCCCCCCCAGCCAGGCTTGAATCGCGAGGAAGTCTCAGGCGGGAGCCTCGTCTGCGAGTGAGTCGCGAAGAAGCCGAGCGGGAGTTCATCGCTATAGGGCCCGCAGCTCCATGTTAGAATCCGAGCGAATCTTCCGGATCTCGTAACTGTCGTCACTGTTGGGCTCCTCAGGAACGTGGAGTGATGCGAGCCCTCGCGGGCCAATCCGGGCGGAGTCACCTTCATGCTCTTAAGAGGGCCGCTCGCTCGGTTGAACCCAGTCCCCCGACGCGGCGATGGCGTCATCGACTGCGCCAAGGATGAAGACGCTGGTCGCATGGGCATGTCGAACGAGCATCGATGGCTGCACCTCTGCGCCATGTTCTCCCGCGCCACGCGCATGCAGAACATGCTGATCCTGCGGCCGCCCACGCCAGAGTTCCTGGAGCGCGGGCCGCTGGCGCCCCTGCGGAAGGCGGTCCAAAAGTTCGACGAGATAGCGGAACAGTTCGCAGCACGGCCAGGTTTCGCGTCCCCCCCCCCCCCCCCCCTGAGCGCGGTCGAGCCCACCTCGAGGCCCGTGGGGTTGCCCCAACGGCCTGGCCCGTGGAGCTGTCCCGACGGCCCGCCCCCGCGCCCAAGCGGTCCGCGGGATTGCCCCATAACCATGGCCTGCGGGATTGCCCCAAAGGTTTCGCGATCTAGCCGTCGGCGAACGTGCGCGCGCGCTGGCCGAGGCGGCGACGGCGCCGAGGAAAATCTACTTGCTTGCCCCGACCAGGGGGAAGGGGAGGCGCACATGGAGAGCGGCGGGAGGAGGATGAGGAAGGGGTATGTGCCAGGGGGAGGATATCACCGCGAGCACTTTGCATGTATGCGTTGATTATTATGTTCACGCGTGTCGCTTTCAGCCTTAACATTGTAGAGTGTGGCACATCAGGTCGGCCTTGCACTTGCTCCGATGCTCCTGCTTTTGGCCCGCTCGCCCCCCTCTGCTGGCCAGCGTCGCTCGTCCTTCTCCTCCTCCCCCTCCCCCTCCTCCTTCTTCTCCTCCTCATCGTTCACCTCCTCATCTTCCTCCTCTTTCTCCTCCTCCTCCTCCTCCTCATGTTCCTTGTTCCTCCTCCTTTTCCTCCTCCTCCTTCTCGTTTTCCCCCTCCTCCTCCTCATGTTCCTTGTTCCTCCTCCTCCTCCTCCTCCTCCTCCTCCTCCTCCTCCTCCTCCTCCTCCTCCTCCTCCTCCTCCTCCCTCCTCCTCCTCCTCCTCCTCCTCCTCCTCCTCCTCCTCCTCCTCCTCCTCCTCCTCCTCCTCCTCCTCCTCCTCTCATTCCTCCTCATCCCCATCTTCATCCTCGTCATCCTTCCCCTCTTGCCTCTGGCATGGGCGCCCACGGGCGGCGCGCGCTCTTGCGTGGCTCTTCCTCGCCTTCCCCCAGTGCCCGCCGGAAGCGAGCGCCTGTCGATTTTCAGCCGCGGCGGCCAGGCGACGCGGAATGGGCCGCGGCGCCCGGGCAGGCGGGCCGCAAGCCGGAGTTGCGGGCCTCCCAGTTGGGGTCCGAATAGCTGGGGTCGAAGGATCGTTCCGCATCGACGATGCATCGGCGATGCGTCTCGATGTGGAGCCGGAAGTACTTCGCGCCGATGCGTCGCCTACGTCGCCGATGCATCGCCGATGCATTGGCGCGGCCATCCGACCCCATCTATTCGGATACCATCTAGAAGACCTTTAGGGCTGGGACAGCGGCGTGGGGAGCGGTAAAGTGAACACTCGTGACAGCGCAAATGGCAAATATGGCACCCATGGGTTGTGATGCTTGTCGCCATTCCTACGACCGCGGCCGCTGTGGCTTTAGCTTGGGCGCCAGGATCACGTCGATAGGGACGAGGCGTACTGCGCATGGCACGCGTCGGTGAGGCATGTGGGCAACTTCTGCGTACATTATCGTAGCGTCTGCTTATATTGGAAAGGGGGGAGCTGATGCCCCGTGCTGTTCGCGTGTGCGCGGACGCTCGTGCGCGAGTGTTTTTTTGTTACGATGTCTCGGTTTGGCTTTGGGGGACTGGCGAGGTTTGAAGCTCCCAAGTTGCGCACGGACAGCGCCCAGATTTTGATATAACCTTGGCTGCCTTCAACAAGTCCGCAGGGTAAGCCTCGAGAGGTCTCAACGCCCAGCGCCACATCCGGCGGCGCCACCCCACGATGCTTCGTGCCCCAAAGCTGGAATGTCGGGCCCGAACCAGGCGGGCCCAGGACCGGCACAGGTGGTTCCAGAGCGTTCCAGCACGCTCTCAGAGCGCTCCGCGGAGCGATGTGGAGCGGCCTAGGCACCTGGTGCATCCTCCAGAGCCGCCGGATCTCAGAGATCCCTGGTTTGTCCCGGCCCTGGCTTCGTCCTTTTGTAGCAGCGAGCACAAAAGAGGGGGCGCGTTCTTGCAATCTGGCGATGTGCATGGCGTGGGGGGCCCACGGGCACCACGTACGTGTTTGCCGCTGGTGCCACGGGCAAAGCGGGCGTTTGCTGACAGTCCTCGTCTCCATTTGCGCGCTCGGGCGGCCGAAAGAAGCCTGGGGCGGCCCGCTGCGCGCGTGAGCTTCCCGCGTAAGATCGCGCGTGAGTGCCCTCTTTCCCGCGGGGTGTGCCGCGCTGGCGGGTTTTGTAAGGCCGCCGCGTCCTCGTGCTTAGCGTGCTTAAGTCGAAACCTTTAGTTTCGTTTCTCAGCTGTTGACGCATAGCCGCCAGCCCATCCAGCAAGTATTATTATGTGACTTGCTGTGGCCACGGGAGCGCAGGAACATGCAGTGGCAAAGACGGCATCCGCCGCTTTATCTGCACAATCGGTTTTGTCAAAACTTCGTCCGTAAGCTGAAGGGCCCGGCACGGGCTCCGCGACGGTCCTTTTGGTTAATGTGTTCGTGTTTGTTGACAGGAAGGCACGAAGAGGCCAGGAGCCAACCATGACGCGCGGCTGGTGGGCGTGGCACTTTGTGACGAATGTGGTTGTCTGCTTTCTCCGCTCTCCACTATTTTTGTTTTCTACATGTTTTAACGTTTTACTCAATATATGTGCCCTCTGCATGTGATTTCCACCATCTCCTCTTCGCTATGTGCACTCCACCTCCTGCTATCTACTCTCGATTCTCCGCTCTTGGCTCTCTGCAGCGTGCACTCTACAATACACGCTCTGCCTCATGCCCTATGCTACAGAAGTTTCCTGTTCCTCTCTCTGTTTGTCGGCCTGCCTGTCTCTACCCTTCTCTCTCTCTCTCTCTCTTTCTCTCTCTTTCTTTCTCTCTCTCTCTCTCTCTTTCTCTCTCTCTCTCTCTCTATCTCTCTCTCTCTCTCTCTTTCTCTCTCTCTCTGTGTATATGTATACATATCTCTTTGTTTTGTATTTATTTCCCAACCCTCCTGCGTTGGGTTCTCGTTCTGAATAGAGCACTGCTCGTGCCTTCCTTCCTTCCCGCCCCCCCCCCTCCCTCTCTTCCCCCCTGCCTTCGCTCGTTGCTGCGTGCCAGCTGGGGGGGCTGCGATCTGTGAAACTGTCGCCACTTTCGAGGGCTGCTGGGGGGCCCAGCACAGAGGGTACACACGGCGGACTCCAATTGTACCTCGCCATCCCTGGGGGGCTGCGATTTGTGAAACTGTCGCCACTTTCGAGGCCTGCTGGGGGGGGCCCAGCACAGTGGGTACACACGGCGGACTCACATTGTACCTCGCCATCCCTGGGGGGCTGCGATCTGCGAAACTGCTGCCACTTTCGAGGCCTGCCGGGGGGCCCAGCACAGTGGGTACACACGGCGGACTCAAATTGTACTTCGCCATCCCTGTGGGGCTGCGATTCGCGACGCTGTCGCCACTTTCGAGGCCTGCTGGGGGGCCCAGCACAGTGGGTACCCACGGCGGACTCAAATTGTACCTCGCCATCCCTGGGGGGCTGCGATCTGCGAAGCTGTCGCAACTTTCGAGACCTGCTGGGGGGCCCAGCACAGTGGGTACACACGGCGGTACCAAACTGTACCTCGCCATCCCTGGGGGGCTGCGATCTGCGAAACTGTCGCCACTTTCGATGCCTGCTGGGGGGCCCAGCACAGTGGGCACACACGGCGGACTCAAACTGTACCTCGCCATCCCTGGGAGGGCCTGCTGGGGGGCCCAGCACAGTGGGTACACACGGCGGTACCAAACTGTACCTCGCCATCCCTGGGGGGCTGCGATCTGCGAAACTGTCGCCACTTTCGAGGCCTGCTGGGGGGCCCAGCACAGTGGGTACACACGGCGGATTCAAGTTGTACCTCGCCATCTTTGGGGGGCTGCGATCTGCGAAGCTGTCGCCACTTTCGAGGCCTGCTGGGGGGCCCAGCACAGTGGGTACACACGGCGGTCTCAAATTGTACCTCGCCATCCCTGGGGGGCTGCGATCTGCGAAACCGTCGCCACTTTCGAGGCCTGCTGGGGGGCCCAGCACAGTGGGTACACACGGCTGGTTCAAATTGTACCTCGCCATCCCTGGGGGGCTGCGATCTGCGAAACTGCTGCCACTTTCGAGGCCTGCTGGGGGGGCCCAGCACAGTGGGTACACACGGCGGACTCAAACTGTACCTCGCCATCCCTGGGGGGCTGCGATCTGCTAAACTGTCGCCACTTTCGAGGCCTGCTGGGGGGCCCAGCACAGTGGGTACACACGGCGGATTCAAATTGTACCTCGCCATCTTTGGGGGGCTGCGATCTGCGAAACTGTCGCCACTTTCGCGGCTTGCTGGGGGGCCCAGCACAGTGGGTACACGCGGCGGGCTCAAATTGTACCTCGCCATCCCTTGGGGGCTGCGATCTGCGAAGCTGTCGCCACTTTCGAGGCCTGCTGGGGGGCCCAGCACAGTGGGTACACACGGCGGACTCAAATTGTACCTCGCCATCCCTGGGGCGAAATGTTCGCCACGTTCGAGGCCTGCTGGGGGGGCCAGCACAGTGGGCACACACGGCGGACTCAAATTGTACCTCGCCATCCCTGGGGGGGCTGCGATCTGCGAAACTGTTGCCACTTTCGAGGCCTGCTGGGGGGGCAGCACAGTGGGCACACACGGCGGACTCAACTTGTACCTCGCAATTCCTGGGGGGCTGCGATCTGCGAAGCTGTCGCCACTTTCGAGGCCTGCTGGGGTGCCCAGCACAGTGGGTACACACGGCGGACTCAAATTGTGCCTCGCCATCCCTGGGGGGCAGCGATCTGTGAAACTGTCGCCAGTTTCGAGGGCTGCTGGGGGGCCCAGCGCAGTGGGTACCCACGGCTGATTCAAATGTGACCTCGCCATCCTTTGGGGGTTGCGACCTGTGAAACTGTTGCCATTGTCGAGGCCTGCCGGGGGGGGGGTGCAGCACAGTAGGCACCCACGGCGGATTCAAATGTGACCTCGCCATCCCTGGGGTGCTGCGATCTGTGAAACTGTCGCCACTTTCGCTGCCTGCTGGGGGGCCCAGTGCAGTGGTACACACGGCTGACTCAAATGAGACCTCGCCGTCCCTGGGGGGCTGCGATCTGTGAAACTGTCGCCACGTTCGAGGCCTGCGGAAGGGGGGGGGGGGAGGGGGGGGAGGGGGGGGGGCAGCACAGTGGTTACCCACGGCGGGTTCAAATGGGACCTCGCCATCCCTGGGGGGCTGCGATCTGCGAAACTGTCGCCACTTTCGAGGCCTGCTGGGGGTCCAGCACAGTGGGTACCAACGGCGGACTCAAATGTGACCTCGCCATCCCTGGGGGGCTGCGAAACTGTCGCCACTTTCGAAGTCTGCTGGGGGGCCCAGCACAGTGACGCCACACGCAGATTCAAGCTCGACCTCGCCATCCCTGGTGATCTGCGATATGCGAAACTGCCGCAACTTTCGAGGCCTGCTTGCGGGGCCCAGCACAGTGCCCTCCCCCCAAGCAGCTTACCCATCAAGTTGATTGCCCATACAAGTTTCGGCCAACTCCTCGTCTCCATTGATACAAATGGGTTGGGTACGTCAATTGGTAATTCCCAACCCTCCTGCGTTGGGTTCCCGTTTTGAATAGAGCACTGCTCGCGCCTTCCTTCCTTCCCGCACCCCCACCCTCTCTTCCCCCCTGCCTTCGTTCGTCGCTGCGTGCCAGCTGGGGGGGGGGCTGCGATTTGCGAAACTGTCGCCGCTTTCGACGGCTGCTGGGGGGCCCAGCACAGTGGGTACACACGGCGGACTGAAACTGTACCTCGCCATCCCTGGGGGGCTGCGATCTGTGAAACTGTCGCCACTTTCGGTGCCTGCTGGGGGGCCCCGCATAGTGGGTACACACGGCGGACTCAACTTGTACCTCGCCATCCCTGGGGGGCTGCGATCTGCGAAGCTGTCGCCACTTTCGAGGCCTGCTGGGGGGCCCCGCACAGCGGGTACACACGGCGGATTCAAATTGTACCTCGCCATCCTTGGGGGGCTGCGATCGTGAAACTGTCGCTACTTTCGATGCCTGCTGGGGGGCCCAGCACGACGTGGGCTGCCCTG